GATGCTGGATTTCAAAGCCCAGCTCTGCCACGTACTGTGTGTGTCACAGGTGTGTAAGTCACCCTTTGACTTTAAGTTTACTCATATGAAAAATGTAAAGAATAAAATACAAATACTACTTTTTTTTTCTTTTGTAGTACTAGGAATTGAACCCAGAGCCTTCATGCTGAGCTGTAGTCCCAGCCCTTTTTTGAGATAGGGTCTCAGTAAATCACGAAGTTGCCCAGGCTGAGCTTGAATTTGTGATCCTCTTGCCTCAGCCTCCCAGAGAGCTTGGATTATAGGTGAGCACCACGTCTAGCTGAATTTGATTAAATTGTGACTGTTGTATGAAGGTGTAATTAATACTCTACCAGGATGTGATTAGTATGTGGGGCACTGAGGTTCAGAGGGAACAAGTCACCCTTTAAATACACCTGCTCACGTCACCCGGGTAGCGAAGCGCCGTTCTCGCAGGGAGGTGGCAGAAACTGCTGGGGCTGAAGCTTCTCAGTTCCCTCGTCTGAGAGCACAAGCCTCTCCCAGCTACAAAACGGCACACGGTCCAGCCGGGGTCACTTCCTCCGCCTGGTCCGAGCGCCCAGCAGGGCGTTCACAGCCTGCGGCCGGCTGTGGCGGGGAGCTCGCTGAGGCCTGGGACAAAGCAGCAGCCCATCTGCTCAGGAACGCGGGGCGGGGGCGGGGACAGCAGCAGGGAGAAAACTATTATTTGAAGTTGGGCTGCATTTCCAGTTTTAGTCTAAAAATATGTGAGTCACTGTGGGCCTTTTCGTCCCCTTCGCCAGCCACGCTCGTCTCCTGAACCCAAACACTTGGAACCCGCAAGGGCAGCACGATCGCTTTTGGAGATGAAAATCCTTTACTCATTTGTTCTTCCCCATAAGCTAATTAACAATGTTTAATTTATTTCAGACCAGGGACTGGCTTTTCCTGACTATTCCGTGCATCATTTTAATCAACAGAATGTAACTAACAAGCTTAAAGAGCCATTCAATACTGAATCAGCAGCTCCTACCATATGCTGAGGGTAAAAACATACTTCCCCAAAAAAGCTAAATACAGAAAGACCAAGGATAGAAGATGTATTTAATACTCAAGAAGTCTAACAGGATGTGCTTAGTATGTGGAACACTGAGATTTTAAGGGAACAAATTATTCCTTAAATACATCTTCCCCAGTCACCCCGCCAGCTAAGTTGGTAGAGGCTGAGGCTCCTAAAAATACCCGCCCTGAAGTATCTTGCCTCTACCTGCTTTGTTACTTCATTGCACCACATTTTAGGGGAGGAGGGGAGGCAAACTAATTACAAAAAAGTTACATCTTGGATGGATTTTTTGGGGGAGGGGTGTCCTTTTGAGACAGGGTTTCACTACACAGTTCAGGCTGGCCTTAGACTCACTTTGTAGCCCAAGCTGGTCTCAAACTTGCAAGGATCCTCCTGCCTCAGCCTCCCAAGTGCTGGGATTATAGACGTACACCACCGCACCTGGCTCTGTTTTATTTTTTTAATGCAAAAGCCAAGTGCAGTACTTTCTGCAGAAAGTGGTTATGTGGCCAACAGATCTTTTTTTTTTTTTTTTTTCCAACAGCTCTTATGATTAACAGTACGGCTAGATGCCAAATTTTGAGTATTCACATATTCAGCTTTATTCTGACAATACCCAGGTTCATGTCTGAGTGGGGACAACCAAAGCATGTTACTATTAAAATGGTTAAATGTAACTGTCTTTGATGGGTCAGAAATTAGTTTGTATTTTGCTTTACACGCACCATTCCAAAAGGAAGGCGACTCTAACAGGAGGCCCGGGCTGTCTCATTAGCAGAGTCGTGTAATCAGCAGAGCCTAAATTTGAATCATCCCAAGTAGATCTGTTATGTGTTTCTTCATTTTTCCAAAACGCCTTAGAACTAAATACTAACCCTCTTTTAGAGATTTTCAGAGCTTGATAGACAACACATTTTCTTGGAACCAACATGGCTTACCCTATTTCTTATAGCCATAACAACTGAGACCACCAGCTGATTTCCATTTTAGACATGCTTTTGTGCAGTAATCTTAAAACACGCCTTCACAGCCAACCAAGGGATGAAATATTGCACTGGAATTTGAAAACTGGTTTTTTAAGTTATGTAAAATTTCTTCCACTTGCGACTAAAGGATTTTGCAAACCAATAAAGATATCCACATTTAAAATTTTGTTCTGTACAAACACAAAATTTTGTTCTGTACATTTGCGTGCTTTCCAAGCTTTCGGTATTGAAAAAAAAGAAAAACTAGTATAGCTCACTCTAAACTACCGATGATCAAGAAAACATGGTAAAAACTGAGTATTATACAGAGCTCATTAGACTTAAACTTCTGTTTCACACCAATCTTTATGTGTATAAAACACAACTGTATGGCTTACCGTAATTGTCAAGGAAGCATTTGCTAGTGGGCAGCCCCAGTGCTCTGGGATGCTGAAGCAGGAGGACCGTAAGTTCAAGCCCAGCCTGGGCAACTTACTGAGACCCTATCGCAATATTTTTAAAAAGGCGTGGAGAGTGTGTGTGTGTGTGTGTGTGTGTGCGTGAAGTTCAGTGCAAAAGCCCTTGGTGCAAACTCCAGTACTAAGGAACGGGTGAGGGAGGGAAGGCCCTGCAAAACCTCTGAGGTCAGAGAACCCAGAAGCCCTCTGGAGCCCCTCATCTGCCCTCTCCCTATGGCATCCCTGCCATCAACCACTCCCCTCATGTACATTTTGTTTCTTTCCGCAGTTGCACTTCCTATGAAGATCACCTATTCTAAATTTCACGTGATGGTGGTGCACACCTGTAATCCCAGCACTTGGGAGGCTGAGGCAGGAGGATCGCTGCAGTCTGGGGTCAGCCTGGGCTACACAGTGAATTCAAGGCCAGCCTGAACTGCAAATGAAACTGTCTCAAAAAGACAAAAAACCAAACAAACAAAAACAAAAACGTCGTATGAATGGGAAAAAACTGTATCCTTCTGGTGTAACTTCTGCTTATTGGTTTAGGGTTCCACTGGTGCCATCGAGGGCAGCAGCAGTTTGCTTTCATGGCTAGGTATTACGAGCGTACTGGTGTACGTAGTGTACACAGCATCTCCGCAGTAGGTGCCCAGGACGTGAAGTGCTGGACTGCACGCACAGTCCCAACTTTCTAAGCGTATACTCAGTTTATACCCTCACCAACAGCTGGCACTGTTATGTAACGGTGATCAATGTTGGGATTTAGTGATGGGTTGGGGTGCCCTGGGGCTTTTTTTTTTTTTTTTGGAGATAGGGTCTCACTATGCAGTTTAGGTTGGGCTTGAACTATGCAGCCCAGGCTGGCCTTGAACTCTTGGCGATCCTCCTGCCTCAGCCTACTCAGTGCTGGGATTACAGGCGTGTACCACCCGCAGCCTGCACCATCTTATACTCCATCAGCTGTGTATAAAACCTTACATTTCTCCAGATCCCTGCCGATCCTTACCATCTGGCATGTTAACTATCCTAACCATTAGTTTGATATATTATCAATATTATCTTATACTGAGATCTCATGTATCATATATTTTGCATCTCCTTGATCTGCATCTTTTCAAGTGCTTACTGACCATTTATAATCTTCCCTGAAAAGCAAGTATTTTGCCCCATTTTTAATTGGTTCTTTTTGTTGTTAAGCTATGTAAACTCTCAGTGACTCTTTTTTCTTAGTGATTTTACAGTTATTCTAGGTATGTCTTTCGACATTGTATGTGACACTAATGTTCTCCCACAGTGGACGCTTTTTACTCTGTAGTGCATTTAATGAAAGAAGTGCTTGGCTTCAACTGAGGTGCATGTGTTAAACTTTACAGACGGTTTTTCGGCGAGTGTGAGGGACTCAACCCGAGGTAACTGATTGTGTCAACCTGAGCAAGAAACTCCCAACTAAACCCACCCAGCACAGTTCTGGGGTGGAAGACCCACCCATGGGCACTGTGGCCGCAACGGGACTACAGAAGGGGAAGGCAGGCAGGAGGCGCCGTCTTCACCTCCACCTTGGATGTTGTCTGCGGCCTCCAGCACACACCCTTCAGCCTCCGTGCACCGACTTGCCCGAACACCAGCTGCAGGCCTCCGACGGCATCCTTTAGGGATCCTTTAGGTCTCTGGCGTGCGGGCAAACCCTCTGCGCCCTTCCACACCTCACTCTGAGTGGTCACCGTGCACCAATCCTGTAAATTCTTCTATATTTGTGTATCTTGCACTAAATTTGTTTCTCAAATACTGACTGACACATAACCTGTGCTAAACAAGCACCCCCCACTGAACCTCATGCCCATCCGTTTTTGAGACAGGGCCTCACTGAATTGCCCAGCTGGCCTCAAACTTGTGAAACTCTTGCCTCAGCCTTCCAAGAAGACGGGACCCAAGCATGTGCGACCACACCCAGCTTAGGTTGTGTGTGTCTCAAGGAATTCTTCCCAAAGCCAAAGATGCACCAATGTTTTTTCTGTATTATCTCTAGAACTATAAACACTAAAAGCTTGACAGCTCTGTCTTACATCTTTGGTGTAAAATTCACTGGGGTTAATTTTGCATATGAGATGGGGCGGAGGGTCCAATTTCGCCAGTTCCTGTATTATTACCCCACTATCTCATTGCGAAGCAATGTTTTCTCCCATGCTGTGCAGAACCAGCCACTAACGCTTACTCCCATCTCTTTCCTACAAAATGAGGCTCACAGACTAAGTGTCCTCAAAGTCTTTGCTAAAATCAAGACTTCGAAGTCTCACCACAGGTCAGGGGCGTGGGACGCAGACAGGGTAGAACTCACACTAGGACTGTGGGTTAGTAAAAGCCCCTGGCTAACGAACACACAGCCAACCTGGTTCCTGCCAGTAACCGCACCCTACGGCAAATCACTGGAAATGATCTCCACGGACCCCTCTGGCTAAAAGATCCTTTATTTTTACAAGGTGTTTGTGTACTTCTGTGATAAACGTTATACTGCAAAGAAACACAGCACAGTTCAAATTCACAAACTATACGAGCTTTATTTATAAAATTCCGCATACTGCTTACTATTGCCCATATCTATTTATTTATTTATTTTTTGTTTGTTTGTTTTCCGGTACCAGAAATCGAACTCATGACCTTGCACGTGCCAGGCAGGCGCTGTGCCGCTGAGCTAAATCCCCAGCCCCGCCCATATCTATTTAAATGGCCATCAGTTACACTCAATCTTCAAAGGTCTTTGAAAATGCACGCAGATAAAGTATTACTAAATAGTTCAGCTGATATCCCAAGGCACTGGTACCAACACTATGGGAAAAGGGTTAATATAAAACAATACACATGCGTAACAGCTTCAATACTGTCTTCAATCCATTGCAGTTTCCTCACGCAGTAGCCTTTATTCGTGAAATGATTTCATTCACAAAACTGTTATTCTTTGCCATCACCTCAGCTTTCAGCTGTTTTAACTTTTTTGTGATGTTTTCTTCTGACATTCCAGTAAAGGGAACTTGCTTCACCTTGGACAGAAACTCCTGAATGATCTTTTCACCTTGCTGAAAAACAAGTTAAAACCCCAACAGTCACTGAAATGTCTTTTCCAAAAGTCACGTCAGGCAGCAATGATCTGTTCCATCGAAGTTCAATCTGAACGTGCTACTCAGAGAAATCTAACTGTGCAGTGTCCGTAACACACAGCAAAGCCCTCAGCTGTGATGAATTTCTTCATAGCAAATCATTAAATAGACATTTATAAACTTATTTCTGGCTGCTAGTGACACAGGAATTAAAATTTTACAGGCTCTCAAGTCCCCCTCTTTTTTTTTTTTTGGTACCGGGAATCAAACTCACAACCTTGTGCTTGCCAGGCAGGCGCTTGTGCCACTGAGCTACATCCCCAGCCCAAGTTCTTCTCTTTCATAACTGATATATAAACAGTCTCGGGGGGTAAAAAGAGCTCAAGATTTTCAAAGAATATCGTACGGCGTAAACCCCACCTGACTCCTCTGCGTCACCCGCACCACACAGGATACTCCTGTCTTATTTCACTACCCAGTTACTGTTGTTCCAAAAACATGGTTATGAGTTGCTATGCGACCCTCAGGCAAATTCCTTAACTTGGGATATCAACATCAGCAACCCCCCAGAGTTCCTGTGAGAATTAAGAGTTAGTATGGGGGCCGGGGACACAGCTCAGCAGCACAAGCGCCTGCCTGGCAACCACAAGGTCCTGAGTTTGATTCCCAGTGGAAAAAACAAAAAACAGTTAATGTGTAAATTCTTTGGAATAGTTCCCAGGGAAGAGTTAAGAACCATGTACATGTTTATTACCGCATGTGAAAGAGTAGCCTGCTTTTCATACAAGGGAACTTACTAGTAATAAATATCTTAAGGTAAAATTGATAAAATAAATACTTCTTTACTAAAAAGAAGTGTACTTCTCTCCAAACAAATATTGAAATCTAGGCTAATATCATCAGTAGTTATGTGTTTGGCTCCTTCAGCTTTAAAACTTTTCAGAATATAGTCTAATTAATATCAAAAATATATAACCTCTCCTCTAACTGGACACCGGGGACTATACAAGAGCCTGCCCGATCCCAGATCACCAAGAGCTATGAATGTGATAGGTTAAAGTGTGGACACAAAAACCAGCTCGCATTTAAGACAGCAACATTCCACAGCTAGAAAGTTTGGAAGTATTTCTCCTGCTTGAACAGGTAGAACAAAGGAACCTGTATCTTTTAACCACAAAAATCACACCTCATCTGTCCTTTGAGTTAAAAAAAAAAATTCACTGAGTAAAAGTTAAAAATATGACAAGTAAAAAGTTGTCACAACATACCACACAGTTAATGCTGCCAAGACCAGGCATGCATTAAGATGCCCTTATTTTTATTATTATAGAGTAGACCTTTAATTTAAAAAGAAGTCACCCAGGCGTTATACATTTCTGTGTGAACATCTAAATTTGACCTATTACTCAGAGAAGGCCCAATGCAAGACCCACTTCTCCCATGAGAATGAACGTCCTGCCCACAGCTTTAACACATGCCCATCACACACCACACTGCACTCTAGAACACACTCGTCATCGTCTCACCTCCACCCTGAACAAGCGGGAAGCAGGAACTTTGAACCACGACTGTTCACTTCTCTGTTATCATCTTACCTAAGTAAACATGCACTTTAACTGGGTATCTATAGCTCCTCTAAAGATTAGTTGTTATTTACTGCTTTTGATTTTTTTTTTGACTTTCTGAGACAGGGTCTCACTACATAGTTCAGGCTGGTCTTGAACTCTTGGTGATCCTCCTGCCTCAGCCTCCCAAGTGCTGGGATTACAGGCGTGCGCCACCATGCCTGGCCAAAACCAAAAGAACCCCAAACCTAAATGTAAACACTAGAACAGTGGCAGCAAGCCTGTGGTATGTATGTTATTGTGCTTTTATGACAAAAAATGTTAATACAGAGTTGTTTTCCTAAAGTGAAAGCTCAGTATTGAGGTTTAATTGCAGTGCTGGCACTGTGTGACCAGGAAGCGGGTGTGGGCTGCAGCCTGCCTTGGGGTCTCCAACAGGCTCAAATCATTACACTAGGAGCACACGGAAGCCCTCTCCTCCCAGGGACCTGGTTTATGGAACAACACGCGGGCATTAAACAACCACAAAAACGAACGGACAAACCTCTCTCTCCAGGCAGCACTTCTTTGCTGCCGGTTCCCCGCCGTCGCGTCCCTGTACGGCTCCGATGCTCTGGAACTCCTCGAGTTCCAGGGCTTTCTGTCTGGCGCACTCTATCACATGCTGAGGGAAATTCGCGAGCTCTGCCACGTGGATCCCGAAGCTCTGATCGCAGACACCTACAGGAGATTTGGGGAACGTGCAAGGGGACAGGGCAGAAACAGCAACTTATGTGGGTGGATTTGTACTTGTCAGTGGGAAACTTGAATGTTTCAGAGTAACTTAGATAAAAGAATCTTAATTAAGCCTCTAATGAAAACTGACTATGATCTGGCACACAATGCTATACTTTATCCTTGAAAAAAATCTAGTATAAAAAATTAAAAATAGCGGAAGAAAAGGTTGATAGATAATCCCCCAAAGCCTAGTATCTTAATCAAAGCACTAGCCCTCTGCAGCTTTTCTTATTTCATAAGGGAGACACTGAAGTACTAGTTTCCCCTTATCTTATTTCATGAAGTGGAAAAAAGGAAAACACACAAAAGCGTCACGAGCTGCAGGCAGCACTTAAGACACACCGACTTGTTTCGAGCGAGTGGTGTGGCTTCAGATCCACCCTCCTTGTTTTCTAGTGATCGCCACTCAAGGAAGTCAGCCGGATGGATTCACTACAGAACGGGCAGCTGTTTCTTGGGAAAACCATTTACCATTCTTCTGTAATCTCATCCTGAGTGTGAATGGCAAACAAATGAAAATAGAATTTCTGACCCAAATAGCTAGCATATTTATAGACTGGGCAGTTTACCTTCATTCCTTTTGTAAGAGAAAAACTGAGTTAAGACAGTCTTTCCAAGTATTTAATAAAAATGATGGTTGCAAAGTTAATGACCTTCTGTTGTATCAATTATAAAATAATAATAATTATTATTTTGTGGTAATGGGGAACTCAGGGCCCCACACACACTAGGCAAGTGTTCTACCATTGAGCTATATCCTCAGCCTGTAAAAAAAAAACCAAACACCTCTGGCCTAATTTTTTACCCCACACATTTTGGAGCTGGACACTATACATGAAGAGAAATAAACAACAACAGAGTAGAAGCAAGTATCTTATGCATGTCCACAGTGAAGAGCAGACGTGTTTCTAACCTCTCCACACTTCATCCGGCCTTTAAAGATACTCGGAAGCCGCTTCTATCACACACAAAAACATGACTTAAACCCACTGGAAGAACTTGCACCCTGTAACAACAGCAATAACAATGTCCAATACTGTAACTAACAAGGATTCCCACTGAGGAATAAATACCAGAGAACCAAGAACCAAGGACTAGATGCCACTGACCTGTTACTGTAACGTAACTTTAAAAGCACAAGCAAATAGTTACAACAACTATTTTACTAAATAATAACATCTAGGGCTTTGGAACTTCAAAGCATATGACTTTTCTTACCTAGTAGCTAATCTGACAAGAAACCTACACCATAAAGGTAGGTGAATACCTTGGGCGACTGTTTCTGTGACAGTTTTGGAACAAACGGCCCTGTTCTAAGACACAGGAATACAGATAGCGAACAGTGTTCCTGCCCTCAGATTAGAATGTCAAAGGCAAACGCGTTCCATGCAAACATTAATGATTCAAGGCAATTAGCGATGGCTTCAAATGCAGCAAGTCTCCCCGGTCACACTCTGAAATGACCGCACACCCGTGGGGCACCCGTGGTCCTCACCTTTCTTCACCTGATACAGCATAGTTAGGGTCTCATCAGTGGTCAGCGCTGTGACGTGCAGGTTATTAACAGTTGGTATCTGATTGGCTAACGCAGTAAGTTCATGAAAATGAGTTGCGAACATGCAAAAAGCACCGATCCTTGTCGCAATGTACTCTGAGATAGCCCAGGCTAACCCAAAGCCATCGTAGGTAGAGGTTCCTCTTCCCAATTCATCGATGATTATTAAAGAATCTTTGGTTGCAGACCTGAAACACAAAATCACGTGACAAATGCTGGGGAAGACATGCACTAAACGTAACAGACTAATTCCCTTTATTTATAAGAAAATCCAACACCGCCAGCAAAACGCCCACGGGAAAATGGACACGGACACGAAACAAGTGCTGGACTAGGAAATAAATGGTGAGCAGGGTTGTTTTTAAGTTAACAATCAAACTAGTCGTAAAAATAAAGCAACTATCATTCATTCCACACCAACCAAGTAAGCCACACAAGCGCAAATATCACACGGTTTCTCCTGCATGAGAAACCCAAAGTATAAACAGTTTACAGAGTGAAGTAAAGGAGCTAATAAGAAACAAGGAGATGGACTTCTGCAGATGGGAAGGGGGCCAGCGGATGGAGGGGAGGGGGGGAATGGTGGGGAAGGAGAATAGTTAAGATGCATTATGTCCATGCACCCACCCCCATGATGAATGTAATCACTACGTATTGCAGACATGGACTGATACAATTTTTTTAAAGGAAGGGAGGGAGGGAGGGGAGAGAGGAGCGAGAGAGTGTGAACAGTGGAAGCAAAAGCACAAAGTGAGATTTATAAGGCGGGCTATCACCAGAAACCTTACAGACACAACTTTAAAAATCATAGTACTTGGGCTGGGGATTGAACTCGGTGGCGTGCTTACCCAGCAGCCATCAGGCCCTGGGTTCCATCCCCAGGATCCCACCAAAACGTCCACCGCTATCAATATCCACCCCTTCACCCACTTTGATGTGGTACTGGGAATTGAACGCAGGCTCTCATGCATGCTAGGAAACGGCTCTACCACAGGACTACATCCCTGGCCTCCACACTCTTAAAAAATTTGAGATGGGGTCTTATTGCGTTGCCCAGGCTGGCCCTGAAATTGCAATCCTCCTGCCTCAGCCTCTCAAGTAGGTGGGACAACAGGTATGCTCCAATGCACCCAGCACGTCCCCCCTTTTTGAGACAGGGCTTCTCTACATGGCTCAGGCTCATCCTGAGCTCCTGGGCTTGAACGATTCTCCTGCCTTAACCTCAAAGTAGCTAGGACTACAGGTATGTGCCTCTGTGCCCGGCTCCGGTGAAACAATACAGTGAAACAATTAGGAAACTAAGCTGAACGGCCTTCAGATGCCCCATGGATGCATTTTCACACGCACCTCTCACAGGACAGGGCACTCCTATTCTCCAGGGACCAGGGCACGCACTCACCTGAGGATGGAAGCAGTTTCCAGCATCTCGGCCATGAACGTGGAGACGCCTTTCAACTGACTGTCACCAGCCCCCACCCGAGCCAGGATGCAGTCCACAATGGACACTTCCGCCGACTCGCAGGGCACAAAACAGCCGATCTGCGCCATAAGTACTATCACCCCGGTCTGGCGAATGTACGTTGATTTACCTCCCATATTGGGGCCTATCATGCAAAGATATCAGAAGGCAAGGTCACCTTGTTTCTGCTACGAATAAGTGGACTGCTAGTGCTAAACTGCACACTGATGAGTAATTACCGAAGTCGCTCTGATAGAGCTAACTAGAAGCAGAGCCAGAGGCTACCTAAAGACATGAACAAAGCCACTGCCCATATCTGCCCCCTTAACGCAGACAGACTTGCACTGGGCCTTTCATCAGGCGAAGCCAGAAAACAATATGTTTTAACTGTAATTTGACTACAGCCTCCAGCGTACCTAGAGGTTAAGTTAATTAATGACTTCCAGAAAAGCAGTGCAGGCCTAATTGATTCCCTAACTCAATATTCTTAATCATAGTAATCCTAGTTACAATGAATGGGCTGATATAGTCACATTTTTCAAATTACTTAAAAGTCTACACTAAAGTCCTAAGTTATGACACAGACCTTGGCAAATGTACAACGTATTTGTTAGGGTCAAATTTGGGGAAACAGAACACAATCGTAACTATTTCCCAAATACATCTGTCCTAAGACTTCTACTTCCCTTTTTTCCCTAGAATGTTATTAAGAACCCTCAAAACACCTCGGCTATGACATGCTACATGTATATGCAAAGCTACTGTACAGGTTTCACACGAATACAGTGCCATGTCTGAACGGAACTGCTATCCTACGCTGAACCCTTCCGGAAGCCGATTCTGCCTGCCCTTCAATGACCTCAATATTGCAAAGATGGGCTCACAATCTACGCGAGGGAAGTGCGGTGCATTTTTACCGGCCCTGCAGCGGAAGTGTCACATGAATATAATATTCTCATAAGCTTTATAATCCCCGTCCCTAATCTTCCCTCTATTTCAAATGTGAGGACATTACAAAACAGAATAACATGCATGTTCTTTTCTAATGTCAAGGACTGAGGTTTTCCTCATCCACTTGGAACGTGTTTCTAATCTGACATAAAGGTGTACGTCCCTCTTCCAAAAGCTCATGATTAGTTTCCTGTCTGTCTCACCAGTAATGATGTGGAACATCTGCTTGTCTTTTTCAAAGTGTACGTCATTAGGAATAAACGCAACTTCATCCTGAACTTCCACACAAGGGTGTCTGGACGCTGTCAGTATGATTCTTCCTTGTCCCTTCTCCAGGATGGCGGGCCGCACATACGGAACAGGTGCTCCATTGGACACGTGGGCAAAGCTGACCACAGCGTCTAGCTGAGCCAACACATCATTGAGCGACTGCATCGGTTCTACATAGCCTACGTAAAAATAAAAACCAAGTGGACCCAGGAATATCAAATAATGAAAAACACAGACAAGCTTTAAGAATAAACTTAGCTTCCTCACTGGGAAATTGCTATAATGAAAGAAACTTGGGGGAAAACCCTAAAATTCAATGTGGGGTTAAAATGTTTTACTATATCCTTCCCCAGTGTAAACACCTTTCAAAATTAGAATAATGTCTTCTCTTAAAAGACTGAGTAAGACAGCACACCCTCAATTTCTGACACGCTCTTCTGCACTTTTAAGAATCTGAAAACTGGATGCACCTCATCACAAGAAATGTGCAAGCTGCAGCGAGACTGTTAAGGCTTGTGCATGACAAACTGTAAGACTGTTAGCCGAGCTTTAGTTTTTTTTTCAATCAGTACCACATGCTGAGAATTTCATCATAAATTTAGATCTCTAATTGCCACTTAAAACATTTTATTCTGGCAGAGCATTAAAACTAAAACTATCACGCACATTCAAAGCCCCTTGACACAGGCCAGACAAACCATGTGCCTACAGTAATGATCCCCAAAATGAATAGATTCTAAATGTTAACAGGTTTCAGGGGCTGGAGTAACAGAACGTGGCCATCAGTCATGGAAACGCTTCACTGGACGTTCAAGGGAAAAGTGCTTTACTGTAGGGAAGTACCAGGCTGAGGACTCATTTTTGACTCCTTTGTTCCTCATGAAAGTGATAAAATGATTTGACAATAAAAATTAACTTATGAATGACCAAGTTCAAGGTTCTCTTCTCGTTTCATCACAATTTAAAAAGGTATTTCTTTTGTTACCTAACATTCTTTTAAAAGGAAAAGAAAAGCGGGCGTGGTGGTGCTCGCCTATAATCCCTGCACTAGGGAGGCTGAGGCAGGAGGATCACTGTGAGTTTGAGACCAGCCTGGACTACAAAGTGAGCTCAAGGCCAGCCTGAACTGCACAGTGAAACCCAGTCTCAAAAAAAAAAAAAAAAAAAAAAAAAAGGAAAAGAAAGACTTCACACTAACCCTATCATGTGGCAACAGGAACGTCTAAGAATTAATTAAACATTAACTGAATACTTATTACCATTATTTATTTTGTAGTGCTGGGGATCAAACTTAGGCCTCTGTATATTCTATACAGTGCTCTAGCACTGAAGCACATCCTCAACCCTAACTACTATACTTGAAAACTCCTAACAATTCCAATTAGCCAAGGCCAGGTCTGTCACACTTCTAAAAAAGGCATCTTCAGTAAGAGCGGGTGCGGCTCTTAGCATTTCGCATCATGTGGTCACAGCAGCAACGTCAGGAGGTACACAGTGTCGTCTGTCCCGTAACTAGGGACCTTGATCACCTGGTCACTCCTGAAAGCAGCCAGTTACAGTCTAGATACACAGCGTGGTAGCCTTAGCTTTCAGCTTTCCACACTGCCCCATCCTGTGCTACACATACGTGCCAGTCATGCTGTCCCTTTTAACCACAAGAAAATAATTTCAAATGGCAGACCCAAAATGGACTCCGAGAATGTGTAAAACAGCGCCCAGAACTCAAAACAGCTTGCCTTGTGAATAATTTATATTTGCTTTTCAGTAATTTTTTTTTGCTACAATCTACAGCAAGAATCCATAGGTAATGGCTTGAAAAAAAAAAAAATCACAACACATACTTGAAAACAGTCTTTTAAACATCCTAGTGCTTTTTCTGTTAGTAGAAGACAGGTCACACTCAGAACATGTAACGTATAGGTTCCATTAAGTTTACCTGAAGATATATTGACAATTTCTTTAACAATGGCATCCTGGGCTTCCTCATATTCGCCTTTATTTTTAGTATATTCTTCATTCAAAGAGGACAACTTACTGCAAATCAAGATAATGGTGTTATTAAAAATATCTAAATACTACTAAAAGTAATACACAAAATATATCTGAACTATTTGTCCAGTCAAGCATCAAAATGATAATGAAAATGGAAACACGAGCAGAAAATGGGAAAGACGGTAAGGTGAGATATGTCTGGAATTCAGTTCATTAACATCCTTTTACGCTGTTGCACAATTATTGCCAGGACAATTATGCCCTGGATTAAAATTCTGATCTGTGACCGTTTATAAAATATTTAAATGGACTCCTGATTTATGAGGGAGGTCATCCCTCTTTTTTAAGAACAGATATCCAGGGTTTTTCTCATTACTGTAGCATAACTGTCTTTTGATACTGAAAACTCAAAAAGGGAAATAAATGCCTTGAAAATTAAACCTTAAGTAATCCAAAGAGAAAATGAAAATTATAGCTTAAAATAAAAATAATGAAGATGAGAATAAAATGGGGGGGAGACTCACTTAATATGAAAGGGAATGAAATCAAGATGAACAAAAAGAAACAGGCAAAGGGCAGGGCGGGGAGCAAGTGTCCCAAGTGGGCAGGAACCAGCGACCCAACGCAGTGCCCGGAACTTGGTCCGCCGCAGACGCGCACAGCCCAAGAGCGGTGCAGGGCAGGGACAGCGCAGAAGAGACAACTATGAGACAGGCAGGTAGAAGGAAGTAAAGGGAGAAGAAGAAGATACACTATGAGGTGGGACCAGGACCCGAAGGGATGAGCTGCAAGGCAGAAAACCAAGGCGGGTGGAGACCAGGCTAGAAAGGCCGTAACTAACACTCGAGATTTCATTCCGGATGGCAGGCACTGGAAGTGGTTAAGGAAATGGCGGCGGGGGTGGGGGTCACGATGATCACAGAGTCGAACACACAACACTCAGTCTGTCCACAAAATCAAGGAACGAAGGAAGTTTCTCCAACTTTCAGACCACGCGGATGGCTCAGTCCAATCTCGTTTACGTATGTTAGAACTGACTCATGGGTGATTTGATGACTATGATAACAAAAGCGTGGTCTTACATAAGCTAACATATATACATCTCTTGAACTGGGAAGGATACAATATCCTGGAAAAACAATATAATTAGATTTGGCAACAGAAGGTCTAGCTTTTACTATCAGTGATACTAGCTGTTTAGTCCCTGAAATTGAAATCTCAATTTCAAAAAGTTAAGGAAAGAATTAAATAGGTTGTTTTCATTATTAGCACTGTCTAAGGACTTAGAACAGTGTCTGCACTGACAGACAGTCAAGGTACTTGTGGAGTAAGTGGGTGAACTGGGACTCTCTGCTGATAAATGGCCCTGCACGGGGAATACTGCAGAGGTGACAGTGGGCCAGACCACGGGCTCTAAACAGCACAGGACAGAAGAGCAACGCCACCCTCAGTAGATCACAGAATAATTTAAAAATAAATTTTTCTTTCACCTATAAATAACTTGCACCAGGAACTTTCCATGATCAGCAAGGGAAAAGGCAGAAAAAAACCTACTGACCTTTTTAGCAATGGGGCACATGACAGAAAAGCTGCAGCCGGCCTCCTAAAGGCTGGCAGTCATCTCCCTAAACTAACTTACTGCTACCAGAAGAATTTTTAAAATTTGATAAACAGTAACAAATTTTTCTTAGAAAAAAATACACAAATCAAAACAGCCAAAGCAGAGGCACGCGGAGAAACTAGCTCTAATGAATATGAAAATGTAATATAATGTAAGAAATCTACCTATTTGGTATTTATAAAAGATGGTGGGACAGCTATGGGAAAAAAGAGCAGTCTTAAATAGACCCAAAATTCCACTTCAGTCAATGAGGGAGCTGGCTCATTTAACAAATGGGGTTAGGACATCTGAATAGTCTTGGGAAGAAATAAAGCTGGACTCCTTTTGTGTGTGTGTGTAGGGGGCGGGTACCGGGAATTGAACTCAGGACCTCACACTTGCCAGACAGATGCTCGCCACTGAGCTAATCCCCGGACCTAAAGCCTGACTCTTACCCAATGCCTTATAGTAACAAATAACATACAAGACAAAACCCTCTTTCTCACAGGCATCTACATTTCACAGACAAGCCACAGAACTACTACAGACTTAAAAACACAATACAGATGTGCAAACCTGTTGGTAAATTTAACACCGTTCTTCTGGATATCCACAGTACTGAAGTTTTTATTGTTACGAAGGACTTTTTCTTCCTTACAGGTGACGCGAAAGTAGTATCCAAACTGTGCACTGGAATCCAATTTAATCTGCTTGCCAGGTTCCAATCCTTCATGATCAGGAAGAAAATAAGGATGTCATAAATCTCTTCAGTCATTTTTAACGCAAGTGTTCAAATTCAGTAAATCTAAAGAGTTCTGAAATAAATACTTTTATTACGTGGCAGCACACTACAAATGACCGTGATCTATCTGGAAAAGACTCACATCCCACTTAGGGCCTGGGATGTAGCTTAGCAGTACAGCACTCGCCTACCATGCATGAGACTGTGGGTTCAATCCCTAGTACCACAAAACAACCAAGCAACCAACCAAAAACTACATGAAATAAATAAGGCTATCTGTAAAATCCTAAGACTCTCTTGTAAGCATCAGCCTCAGACAGAGAGGCTACGGAGCCCACACAGGGCAGCAGTCCCACATGCAGCGGGCCCCTGGAGATGGTAAAGTACAGGTGCCTATGCTGTGTAGCCATACAAGAGGATCCTTTCCTTAATGAAAGCCTTACTTTAGAACTAATTAGGGTATAGACTGACCAAATGCAATTTCTAAACAGAAACTTGAGATTCTGACAATGAAAACTGTTACGTACAAAAATTTTCACAGAAGCTGGGTGTGGTGGTGTATGCCTGTAATCCCAGCACTTGGGAGGCTGAGGCAGGAAGATTGTTGGGCGTTCGAGACCAGCCTGGGCTACAAAGTGAGCTCAAGGCCAGCCTGAACTACATAGCAAGACTCTGCCTCAAAAAGACAGACAGACAGAAAGACAAGAAAGACAAGAAAGAAAAGAAAAGAAAAGAAAAGAAAAGAAAAGAAAAGAAAAGAAAAGAAAAGAAAAGAAAAGAAGGAAAAAAAAAATCACAGAGCAAAACCAATCTTGACTAATCAAGAACTTTTGCACCTAAGATTTTTTTCATTTTTATAATTATGTCCTTTCTTCATAATTTCATTCATCATGTTCTTTAGACCATAAAGTAGAACAGAAAATTATTCATCAAATTTATTTGCTGAAGAATAGCAACTGAATGATACTTGTGGCAAACAATTCGAAACAGGTCTCACTTCACCAGGGAGGAAAAGCACCATACAGACCCATTCGGAAACATAAACGCGGAAAGGACAGCAGTTCACCTGGAAAGACTGCAACCGACTGGGCTCCAAGTCTCAAGCCAAATGCCGAGGATGTGAGAGCCTGCTGCACACTTACACACATGCATTTCAGTGTCACAGTGGCAGTCACACCTCTAAATGTGAGAAACAGGACTATGTTTACAAAGATAAATACCATACTCATGCTACATGTGTACTTAACTCCATGACAACCACTGTATTTAAATGAGGATTATGTCCTCAAAGTATAGAGATTATTAACTTCATTCCTCCTCAAAAGGATAAAGACCAGAGAGATTACGTAACTTGTGAGCAGCTTTACAAAGAAGCTCCAAATCAGCCTGAACTCACGCTTTCCGTTTCCCAGCCTGTGCCTCCTAGGCTACAGTCAGTGTCTGTTCTTTGGCGCTGGGAGCTGAACCTGGGCCTGAAGCCTGCTAGGCAAGCGCTGTCCTGCTGAACTCCACCCACTACCCCAGTGTCTCCTGTTCACGTGGGGCATGTTCACACCGCTTTCACAAGAATTTTCAACAAACAAACTCACTTAATTCTAAAGTGGAATTTTATTTTATTTTATTTTATTTTTTGCTTTTTTGAGACAGGGTCTCGCTGCGCAGTTCTGCTGGCCTTGAGCTCACTTTGTAGCCCAGGCTGGTCCCGAACTCCCAACGATCCTCCTGGTCAGCCTCCTGAGTGCTGGGGTTACAGGCGTGTCACCACGCCAGGCTCTAAAGTGGAATTAAACTTAATACAAATGCTTACTCAGTAAGACAAACCAAGAATAGGCAATAATTAATGCAACAAAAGAAAACTTTTCAACCAAATTAATATACTATGCATCTGCAGGTACTTTTTGCAATTCTCCTGTCTCAGCCTTAGAGAGTGCTGGGATTACAGGCATGCAACACCACACTTGGCTTGACAGTGACATAAAAACAAAAAACAATACAAGGTCTCATTTAAAGATATCATACATGGACCTGTTGGGAAATTTCCATTTAGCAAGTGAGGTCATCTTGGGGATGGGAAGTTAGTACAATAATTCTGGCACCGCTGTGGACACTGTGTAGACAAAATAATTTTCAAGCCTCCAAAGACCCATTCCTACCGAGGTCTCGAGCTGCACTTATTAACGTGGACTGCATCTTCTTTTCCAAGTCATCCATTACTTCTCTTAATTCACTCAGATTCGGATCAAAGGAAGGTTTCACAAGGAACTCATGGTTTTCCACCTATAGAGTGAAGAATAGCTAATGATAAAAATTGTGAAGCATTTTCATTTTCCTCCTCCCTCTACCCCCTTTTTTGGGAGAGTAGTCCTGGGGATCAAAGCCAGGACCTCTGCTTTGAGCTACTGCCTTAGCTCTTTAAAAATCTTTTTTTTTTGAATTCTGAGACAGGGTATCACTGAAATTACCCAGGTTGAGCTCAAACTTGCGATCTTCCTGCCTCAGCTTCCCAAAGTGCTGGGATTATAGGCATGTAACACCACACGCAGAAGATCTATATAATTTAAATTTGGCTAATGTTTTGAGTTCAATGATTTACTACCTATAAATTAGTCATAACTATTAACTTCTATTTCTTAAGAGATATAAAGTTCTGTTTATTAGGTCCTAGAGTTCTAGATGCATAAAAATTATTCATATTAAGTAAATAGTGTTGAGCCAGGGATATAGCTCAGCGGCACAAGTGCCTGCCTGGCAAACGCAAGGTCCTGAGTTCAATTCCCGGTACCAAAAAAAAAAAAAAAGAAGAAGAAGAAGAAAAAAATAAGTAAATAGTGTTAATGATGCATATTCGTCCAATAGTATCCTTTATTCTCATTTTCCCTAAATATTACTAAATAATGTTTGATGCTCAAAACCTGTAATAGAATGTGTGGCTTTAGTAAAACCAAAGATCCATCTTAGAAATATCAAAAATTACCTCTGAAAAACTTTGTGGGGAGTGAGGGTGGAGGGGTGGGGGTGGGGAGTACTGGTGCTTAAACCGAGGCCCTCCCAATGCTAGGCAAGTGCTCTACCACTGAGCTACATGCCGAGCCCTAGAGGTTTTTTTCTTTAAACTAAAAGTTCATCAAACTCCCATGATTTAAAAACACACTCTTAGCTGGGCATGGCAACATACCCCTGTTGTCCCAGCACTTGGGAAGGTGAGGCAGGATGATTCACTGCCAGCCTGGACTACCCAGAGATCCTGTCTCAAAAAACAAAAAACCACCACCACCTTCTGTATACTTTGTTTTACTAAGTTCTTACCAATATTCACCAACAAGAACCCATAATGAAAAATATGTCTCATTTACACAACAGCAAAAACATACCCAAAATATGTAAAAGCAAACTCTTGATTATATAGGCCCTTTATAAAGCAACCTATTGGAAGATTTAAAAGGGATGTGAAGTGAAGAGTTAAAATATGAAGAGAAAAACTAAATCAAATATTAATAGCTCTTCATGCCCAACAACTGCTCAACAGGAATCTTTTTTTGAAACAATGACTAAAATTTAAACAAAATTATAAAAGATCATTAAAGAAGAATGAAGTCTATCTCTACTAGGCATTAAAAACTATTAAATAGACAATTACATATAAAAGCTTATTATGAGAGTGAGTCAGTTTTCTAAAATAAGATGACAAAAACGTATTCAGTAAATGCAGTTGAGATAAATTGCTCCTAATTATTATCCACTTAATCAACTCCATATTCACATACCTAAAGTAAACTACACAAACAATAAGGATGTAAAGTCAAATCACAGAAAGCTAGCAAAAAAAAAGGAAGTAAAATATTTAAACCAACAAAATAAAAAGGAGAGCCAACTATGTAAAATGGGGAAGCATAATCCTCTTAAATTCAGATAAGAAAGTAAGTAGTGAAGTAACCATAGGGAAAGGCTCTAATAATAAAAGACATAAATATTTAAGTACCTTGAAATACTTTTCTACAGCCAACCCTGTGATTCCACTTAAAAAAAAACAGGAACCATCACTAAATATTAGCAAGGCTTCAGTGAAATTAGTATATTCATTCATGTCTGCTAAGAATCTAAGTTGCTGTAACCTTTAGAAGTGGAAAAAGCAAAATACAATGAGGTGCAGATATATATCTGAGAGCGCTTCTACTTGTAGAAATTTGATCCAAGGAAATAATGCAATAGGGGCAAAATGACACAGGGCTGGATCTCTGTAGATTTATCATTACGGCAAAATTTGAAGATAATAAAACACAATATTGGGGCTGGGAATTTAGCTCAGCGGCAAAGCGCCTGCCTGGTAAGCACAAGGTCGTGAGTTCGGTTCCCGGTACCAGAGAAAAAACAAAACCAAAGAAAATTTTAAAAATGAAACACAATATTTGTGTAACAGTTTACCAGTATAACAAAGTGGTTAACTGAATAGATAATAACACATTATCTAGAAACAAGGACCACGGGTTATGATAACTGCTCGTGAAAAAACAATGCTACAATGGTGGACTGAAGCTGGGCGTAGTGGTGCACACCTGTAATCCCAGCACTCGGGAGGCTGAGGCAGGAGGATCACCAGGATTCCAAGGCCAGACTGGGATACATAGTAAGACCCTGCCTCTAAAAAACAAAACAAAACATACAATGGTGGGTTGAAACTACAGTGCTAGGTTCACAAACTTGATTCCACGATTCTGGTAACCAATTGAGTTGGATGAGAACCGGATCAAATTCCCTCATAAGGTCAACACTGAACCCAATCACGGAATTTGATTCAAACCTAACCTCTATCTGTACTAGCTGCCTTTCCAACAGTACCACCTGCGTAGGGACTAGAAACGCCCAGGCAGTGCGTCGGGTTGCATAAAAGGAGACAGGACAAAAGAAACAGACTTGGAGCTCAAACAATGGGATGACGGGTGAAACTAAGAAACAAAATGGAAAGAATGAGGATAGAAAGTTAGGCCTTAAGGAGCATCAGTAAAGAATTAACAAATATAACAGCAAAGAAGAGATTCTTTTGCAATCAAATTGCCTGTTCTGATCAGAGTACAAACACTTGATATAATCAGAGAGAAGGCA